AAGTGGGACAACCAGCTGCGATACGAAATGAGGCGAAAATATTCCCCATCAAATTACCGAACATAATTTATTGGACATGCCCTGTTCGATACCTTACAATTGAAAAAAATACCTCTGACATAATTCGCCTCGGCTGAAGTGTATGCCAAGGAAGAGCGGAAAAGCAAAATGCACCTGACTGATTCGCGTACATTTAGGTTGACAATAGACGAGAGATATCGATCAAGAATGTGTATTATGAGCCCCAATGACCACGTCTTCCAATTTGCTTTCATCAACATCATCATTGTCAGCTGTAAAAACCGCGTGTACTTGTCGGACAGTGGCTGTAGCTGCCACAGGGGAGGTGGAGTAGTTAGCTGCTCATTGGAGGTCGGAACTGATAAATTAGAACGTAAATACAGCACTTTAGGTGGATTGTCAAGTGGGCGGATTGGGAAGGGAGCTATGCGTTGTGGGACTGTGTGGCATTCCCCTGTGCGCGGAAGTGACTTCTCAATGCCACTACCATACCGGATAGCGTACAATACGGATGTCATCTGGTAATATAGACGACCCGCCCGTGCAGAGAAGACACTGGGTTCAATTGTTCGATCATAATCATATGGGCCCGAGAGTGGCCGCTAAAGGTGCGATGGTACTATGAGTGATTTTCTATACCACCACAAAGCTGACCGACAAATCTCACTGTCACATTAACGTTAACAAGCTATTTGTGCACTACCGTTTTTGACTGTACGTGAAAGATAACGATTAAGCCTATTATCATCCGATATCGTTAGGAGCGAATCAACGACGGTTTTTGGACTGTTAAGACCCCATGTAGTTTCTTTGAAAAATCACACGGAGCGCCCAAAGAATACCGCAGCTGTGGAAAGAGGTTAGGCTGAGTTCTATGTGATTTTCCCCTCAAAACCAAATTGGCATGCAAGTGAGTGTATTCCGCTAACGAGTAGTCTTCCCTATGAGCATTTCTAGTTATGTGTGTCACCCACGGCAAAAAACCCTCCACCATTATGTTAGGTGATACCGGATAACTAGTAACATGTCCGTATGCTCTAGTCGGATGGCTGTGGAGGGACGGTATAAGGGGCGTTGCAGGGGAAACACTATGTGGAAGCACAGGAAGGCAGTGTCGTCACACATCCGCCAAATCTTTATCGTGTTTCTCTTTATTCCTACTCGTCAGTGGTACTGAAACTTGCTACACAACTCTCAAAGCCTAAAACGACTGACAAGCAGACTCCCAACAAGAATTAAGCGGACTCTTGGTGATTACGTCCAGGTTCACGAAGTCTGGATTTCCGAAGAGAGGGCCTGAGCAAATCGCGTTAGCTTTGTTCACACCCAACCTGATACTAGCCCGCCGCATTTTGGCCTGCTTTCGATAAACACTTCATCCACTAGTAGACGTGCTCGCTTGGTTAGTTTCTGAACAAAAAGCCAACTGCAATATTTGATCAATTATTCTGTGACTCCTGGGTGAACTGTTACTTTGTTGTCTTCTGAGTGTTGGTTCCATTAAGTTAAACAGCAGCCAACTCGATTGCCGGAAAAATAAACCACTAGATTGGTTTGTATCACTGTGCTGTGGGGAAAGAAAGTACCTAGAATGTAATTCCAGTTCATTTCAGCCAGGCAACATGTTCAAAGGGTACGCTGGTCCCAGATACTTCGCTTATCAAAAAAGAGCGGTGAGAGTATGACCAGATGTTGGGATGAAAAAGGACAAACAATGGGGAAAATTGCATTTTATGCTAAATATTGGTCAAATGGGGATGTCTTGTTAACACAATAATTGATAGAAGCAACTGCTACTATGGCTAGGTAAACACGGCTTGGCAAAAAGCAAACGATGGACACAAGAAACTCACGGCTTCGTCGTCGATCACGATCGCGCGAACGGCTACGAGAACGACTCCGTTTCCGGCGATCAAACTCCCGTTCTCGAATGTACCCAGTTGCACGTCCGTAACTACGCCCATGGCTAGGAGGTTCACGACCGTTCTCATGCTTGCTGCTGACCTTGGGTTTTTCACTGGGTCCTTGGCGGTTTTTACCCAAACCCTTACCTAGAAAGCGAAACATTTATTAAGTGAAAGCATGTGATAAGTAGGGCACCGAAAACAACCACCGCAACCGAGGCTGGTCTGTGGCATCATGGTCGGTACGATATACAGCAACACATGATTCCTTCCGTAATTTATCGTCGATATCGTACGCGACCCTTCAAGAACAGATTGATATTTCGCGAACTGTGAAGACGAGTAAAACGATGCGGCATTGCATCTTGTGGGGAATATGACGATCAGTCTGGGGAAAAAGTTTCCGACCGAAGAAGCCGCTTTCTCTCAGTAGTCAGTTATGGACCGTGTCGTGATTATGGACAAAACCACTGAAACTCTGTGGGCCCCGGTTCCACGCGGAAGAGGCGGCCACGCAGTGAAGCTGACGGCCAGAACACTTCGTCAGAATTGAATGGTAGGAGCATTCAAGGGGAAGGTAACCAAACACGCCATTGATTTCCGGACTATTCGTGCAAAACCGGTGGCCATAAACAGACTAAGATCATGTTGCCCGGAGGCAAGTGGAAGGATACGTCGCGACCCAGTTACGAAAAAAGGGAGGTCTAGCCCTACTGAACAAAAGGTGGACCAATCAAAATTGACCATTTCTAGCTCGGGGTTTCTTGCCCATCACGAAGATCCTAGTTTGACCTTGTGGGAAATTCTAAATCACTCTCTAAATGCAACGGTGACGATTTTCCTTTGTCCCCATTATAAGATGCCACAAGCTACCGTGCCTATCGAACGCTGTAGTGGGTGGAACGGCGAAACTGGAACACGAGTAACGGACCGCAGTACATGCAAAATCTAGCAGCTGGAGAAGAACCCTGAAGGTATTGCGAGGCCTTAAAATTTTCAACCTTATTGTGTACTTTCCATCAATCACTATTGTAACAATATGCTGACTAAATACCGACTGGATCATATCAAGACGGTGGCGTATTGATACGGAAGTATATTGAGGTAATGCTATCCTACGGGATCCTGATGAACGGCTTCAAAAATCCTTACAAACCGAGGTACCGCCTACAAAACAGGACATAAGCGCTGCGTTGAGAAACAGGTAGCAGAACAGCGAGAGGGGAAATGTGAAGAGCGCTCGTCTGCATCAACGCTCGGGGCCATGTTACTTTTGAGCCACCGCACGACCCTCGATGCGAGTTGACTGGGGCATAGCAGACAAGAAAACAGGATGGTGTATTACTTATGCGATCCCTCGTTAAGGTTCAAGTGGAAGAATCGGTCTCGCCGACGGTCCTCGGCCACTGGATGCCTGGTTTCCCTAGTGAATGCCTCCATGGACCGTTCATCACTAAATTGTGCCGATGTATCTGAGACTACTAGTTCCCGTAGAAACCTTGCGATTTTCCTGACTCTAATTAATCTGGCCAATTTTCTCCCAGACCGTTGTGAACATCCCAACTCGAGACCACGAGTCTCCAATACGCATTCGTCTATCCGCCCTTGCCGACCATTGCAGGAATAGAATTTATCCTAAGCTATACGGAAAGGGTAACGACCAACTTGCGACACATAAAAAGGACAACCATTTTAAGGCATAATGCAAGATAAATTGGACTGATTTAAGCTTAAAAACTAGACAAAGACATTGTGACGTCCCCTCAAGCAATCTATGTATCCATACTTCGATTTGTGCTGTCCTGTGAGAGGCCAACGCATTAGCCCGGACGGTTTGTATTGGAAGGGCTCAAGAAAATCCGTCACTCTGAGAACAGAGTACAAGCATGGAGACAAGACAATGATCAAGTGATGTTGTATTTTTATTAAGGCCTCCATGCGGTCAAGCGCTACAAAGATCCGCAGGAAATTGAATAAAACAAAACGTGAAAGTAAACTTCCATATTAGACAAGGATCGACTCAATGACTGATTTATCGTCCACAAAAGACTTTCGGGTCAAGAGTGCAACATTACCCCGCAATTAACCAAACCTTTTTGAAATTAAAACACAAGTTAGTACAGCATCTATTAGCTGCGTACATTATGGACTGAAGAATCTCTGTCATTGGAATTGGCAAGTTGAAAGAGCACGGTGCCATCCGTTTGACCGTGTCATACATGGACAAATAGGAGACAGGGTTTGAGATAAATTTATCAGAATAATGCCATTAAAAAGGTATAAAAAAACTCAGACTGTTCTCTGTGTTCGTGGGCGGTTCACCTTTCACTACGGAATTGATTATTGCTCGAAAGCCTGAGACCGTAACCTGAATTGCGGCCATCAGTCTACATTTAGTACTTTGTTCGTTTAAAAGGGACAGCTTATTCACAGATCAACGATTTGCGGCTTTCTTAGTGCGAAAGCGCAACCCAATGGTCCCGAGATTCACGGCAGGCGGAAAAATACACCAAAATACCGGAACAAGGTTCACTATTTACAACGACCCGCTCTTCAGTACACGGCAAATTCATCAGGAATAACTAACAGGTGAACTCAAAGGTACGGAGTAACCACTAACGGTTCCTTTGGGCTGGGTGGTAATATCTCCATAGAAGACAGTGGGATTTTTATCATCCAGACCCGTATCTGGAGCTGCAATTCAGGACAGCCTGGGTGTCCGATCAAGGGTTTCCTCTGGGCTGCAGTTGTTAGATTAGAAAACTATGCGAAGGGTTTCATGGAATGACGATTCATTCCGGAACATGCGCTAAAAGTTGATAACAAAAGAATATAGCATCCAAAGAAATAGCGGAAACAGACATGATCAACAAACAACGTCGATGGACAGACTCAAAGTACTGGGTGAAAAACTGGAACCAGGCGTTCAGGAGTCTACACAGCCAGTAAGTTCACGGGCGATTGCTTGGCTTGAATGTGACTGGGACTACATTCGAATACCCAGCTTTCACGTAGATTCAGAGGAATAAAGCCAAACGCCAAGCCCTTATTCATGAAGTGCAGTGTGACGCGTAAACCTTGTTCTGATTGACTTACCTAGACGTCGAGGCCTCCAATCCGGTCGGGTTCTTCCACGTTCAATGTCGGTTAGAATCCGCATTCCGTCGACCTTCTTACCGTTTAGGCCTTTGACAGCAGCTTGATCCAATAACAATCAGGTCCCAATACAAGTTACACCGGCGTGAACGAGAAACGAATGACAAGCAAGTACATGCATGAGTCGATGCGCCAAAATCTGAAAGCTCGTTTGCATGTGAGAAATCTAATCCAAAAGACGCACATAAGGCCTGCATCCCCGAAAGCTGGGAGCACCAGTGGTGAACAAAATATCCGAAGCATTTTGCTTTTTCGATGTTGGGAAAAAAGCAATAAGCTCGCCTATAATATAGCGTTTAACAGAAATAATACGGAAAAAACCGATAGTCACTCTAGAGTCGACGTGAGTGCATCTCTCACTGATGAGGTCGCTAGATCACAGTTGATCAGAAAAACACCAATTACCGACAAGCAAGTGCGCACGTAGATGGGGAGTTTAACAAGAAGCAGGTTCTGCCATCCATTCGGATGTTATAAGGTTGGGGACAAATTCAGAAGCACATAGGGACTTTGCTACCTACAGAAACAGTGTTCCATGCTATCTGAGACTGTGCAACCCGTAAGTCCAGGGGAAAATACTACGCCATCCAGCCGCTACGTAGGCTGACGTCAACTAGGAGTCGCAAGTAGGAATGACGTACATGCACAAACCACCTATCAGAAAGGTTTTTGCTTGTTTTTCAGGAAAACTACCTGTCTTGAAGAACAGGAACGTATGATTATGCTCTGATCAGTATTTTTCAGAAAAGCTCGCAGGTCAAAGATACGGATCACAGCTAGCCTTCCACAGTGAGATAGGTTAGCTGCAGAAATTCGCTAACATTGAGCAGAGCAGCTGCCGGGATCAGAAGTTACTTTGGCCAGCAGTACTCTGTACCATGCAACGTCATCTGGAGAGCGCAATGGTCACAACATTACACACCTATCAAAACGCCAGATTTGGACCAACTAGCGTGGTAGGAGTAGGAAGAAACTGGGCTCACCATTTGAGCTTACCAATTAAACAAACCTAAGCCAGTGTTTCACAGCAGTTTATCGCCCCTCAATCTCTTTGTGTGTGTGCGGCGTTATAAATGCATTGAAGACCACCAGTCAGTCATGAGGACTGAGTGAGGAGCAGTATACCAATAGAGGCCTGAAGAAAAAAAGAATAAACCATACAGTGAGAATCACGAAGGCGATTCGACGAAATGTTTTTGGACCTATTTTAATTATTCGAGTAGGGAAACGTTAGCAGTAGGAAACAGACGTGAGCTTTGAGGTAGGGAATGCTAACAGTAGTGGTTGCAGTGGAGCTGTCCGATAATGGGTAAAGCAGTAGCACAGAAGCGATACAGCGTGATGACCGCTTACCGTGCATCTCTCGTTCATGCTCGAACTCCACGAATGCGTATCCTCGTGGTTTACCGGTCAACTTGTTTTTCACCATCACAATCTGTAACAAGACAAACATCCAATCACTGCAAAACACAATCGCACCTGGGTAACGCGTCCGAAAGCTTCTGCCTCACGGCGCAGCTTTCCTTCACTGGTGTCGTAATTCTGTAAGTGAATGTAAAAAAAACAGCGAAAACAACCGTACCATGCGGGCAACAAACATAGTGTTGTAAGCGTTGGATGTAGCACCAGGATTCTTTTTCGGATTCCCTAGATATGTATGAAAGACGCTCAGAAAAGCAGCCTACATAAGGCAAGATCCTGTTCCAGCTTGTAATTTGCTTGTTCTTGTTTTTCTCTCCTCTGTAAAGAGCAATCGTTGATTTGAGATGTTACTGACCTTCCGCTCTTTCCGTTCCTCTCGTGTTTCGATTCGAACGGCTGGTTTCGTTTCTGATGGGTCCTTGGGGAGAAGGAATGACAAGAAAAACGCAGAGGGTGATAGATCGTACTATCATGTGACTCCGTTCGATTGGCTAATCGCAAAAGATATGAAAAAACGGCAACCTCATGCAAAACCGAGATAATCTAAATCCATAAGCCCCTACCTCAGGTAAACTGGATTGCAGGAAAAGCTTACACACATTTCATTCCATGTATGATTATAGAGAAGACACTTTTCTGGAGATCTTTTAGCAATTTTCACTTCTCAGTAGAATAAAATGGCAAATTGTGTGGCCAGAGTCGGGTTGGAACCACGGACCTTCCGATCAGTGAATTCGCGCTCTAACCACTGATCCATCTTCCGTGCGACTGATACAGAGAAGTGGCCCATCGATCAGGTTTATAACGGAAGACATGCCTAAACCGCGTAGGTGCAATCAAGCAAAATTCCTAAACCGTACAGGTCACTTGGAGAAACGGTTCCCCGTGTGGGTTTAGAAGTTACATCAGCTTTGATTACGGAGAGCTCTGTCCTTCGGTGAAATGAGGGATAGTTTATCAACCTAGTGTACAGACATTGAGAACAGAGACTTGTGACGTTGGGAGCACCATGGCCGGTGATAACCATTGGTCTAGAAATGAATAATATTACGAACAAGTATATCTAGCCTTACAGTTCGTAACAAAGTGGGGAAATTCGCCGAGGGATTCGAAGATATACTAGAGAAAAGAACGCCTTTATCCATGACTCGAACAGGGGTAAATTTTAAAGCACTTCCGACAGTAAACGTAGTGCTTCATTCAGTAGTCATACGTCCCCGGAGGCGTATTACTTAATGGACAGAGGTGGTGGGGTTGAAATGACGTTTTTGGTCTCAAAAGTACACAGACAGCCACTCTATAGCTACACTGTATGAGCCATAAAACACATGATGCAAGGCATTGGAGTTCAAGTCCACTGTTGTGGTACCGACGGTAAACACATTTTGCATGCTCTGTAACGTCAACAGCTACAACAGCACAATTAGACAATTATTAAATGCCCGGATACTGGTCGTTCTAAAACTGGTTGTCTTATTTCGTAGAGATTGCAATCCACTCAATTCAACTGTGTACAACCTAATAGCAGCCACCGATTGCGGAAAGTTTCCTGTACAGCATTATTAAATTGCTAACCCGGTGTGCCTGTCAGAGTTTATCTGCACTTCATCCGTCCGTTCACCTTGTACATCACTGTATGGGCTGCAGTGTACACCATTGAATCACTCCAGCTTGAAGTGGTGGTCAGTGCTGCGAGGACCCTATGCGCTGCATTGCCTGGATTTTTACTGCAAGGTGAAATTATGCCAGGGTCAGAGGGAAGCAGCCCGACGATGAGCAGCGAGTCCTTGTACTACGAACATCTGGACGCAAAGTTGTACCGCCGTCCGGATGGGAGTGTGAAGGCCATAAGGCGTTTCTTACGGGGCATGTCCACATTTATGGTAGTGGCGATGACGCCTTCCTAGGAGAAGCGATAGGTTAGACAAGTTCAGTCTCAAACACCTAACACTGACCTGGCTCAAGTGGTCAGAGCGCGAATTCACTGACCGGAAGGTCCGTGGTTCGAACCCGACCTGCCTCTCGATTTCCCTTGTCTAAGCTTGGGCCCTGGTGCTTCCTTCGGGTGGCATGGTAGCTAGGCACCGGAAGGGTGTACAGTTGGACGATCTACGAATTATCCAATAAGGTCAAGAAACAAAAACGCTACCACGAGCACGACGCGGCTCCAAAAGAGCCTGCTGTGCACACTACACCCTCTTCCCACTGCCTGGTCGAGCAGATTGATCCAGGAGATCCCCCGGACAGAAGTTTCCAACATCCGTACTCTGTGTCAAATTGACAAACAGCCAACGGGACTCTGAGGCATGCAAACAAGACACAAGTGTAGTCGTGCATTTCAAAAAGTTCAGGATGAATTAAGCTTTTTCACATTTTATCCTCCGAAAGTCTCGTGATCCGGAAGCGACGGTTTGGGATACATAGAGTAAGCTGCACCTATGCCCAAGGTTGAGCGCATTCTTGAGCCATCCGATTAGCCAGCTCAATGAGCTCAGTGTTATTCGACATAAATACCGATGCCTGTTTTCAGCCGGCTTATGTCCCAACGTACTACAGTTCTAACACTTCAGTTTATCTCATCAGGCAGTGCGATCCGTACTGTTTCGTGGATAAGTGGCTTCTACGCGGACATACGAAAGATGTTTGACCATCAATGTGCCTGAAGCATTGGTCGGGTCTGGCGGGAACATCAAATTAGTAGTGCTTAGTTAGGAAACACCGCTGCACGATAGATGAATTGCTCATCCTAGGTTATAATAGTTCGGACATGCATTTCACATGCCCGAAGACCATCTGCCCCGCACATTTCTTTTCGTCGAGCCCTGTGTTGAGTGGAATTAATCAAGAGGTGGACAGCGTGGACCTGGCAACGAAGTATGAAAAAACTAACCAGCGAACTTAGTCGGGTCGACAACTCCCGCCTCTCTGGATGAGGACTCCAGGGACTTGACTCACTAATGGTTAATGACACTGGCAGCAATGGTCAAACGGAGCAGTAAGTAGTACCCGGGCATCAAACCTACCACCTTCAATAGGTAGCTGCTCAATTCCCGAACTGAACATGCCATCGCCTCAAAGGCTTTCCAGTATGCCCCACAGTCCCACTTTCCGGTAATCGAAGCTGTAGTGACTGGAACCAATACGCCTATGACACAGGGTATATAGCTGGTAAATGGATTGACTGATTATGTTCCGTTGTCCATTAGCCATGGACGTATCGAAGGTTATATTGTTGACCTAGTCGTTGGCCGGAAGCACCACGGAACCGGAAAAGCCAATCAGTCTCTAATATTTGTGGTTGGTTCCATGCCAGAAACATTTCCTGATCAACAATCCATGCCGGACTTACCATCATCACTATCACCTGTAAGGACCACGTAGTTGTCATATAGTGGTTGCAACTGGCACAGTTTCGTTCACCGATGATTTGGGGAAGTGGGGCGGGTAGCTGTGCATTGGAGGCGGGAGCTGGTAAATTAGTGCGTAAATATAGCACTGTCAGTGGTGTCAAGTGGGGGGATCGGGAAGGAAGCTATGCATTTAAGGCAATAGCTTGGATGCAAGAGCGCCACTGAGCGAGCGACTGGGAGATGCCTCACAATGTCTTTAACCGTTGATGCGGCTCGTCTCGAGATCCCAATCTAGGGAGACGGCAGTGACCAGTGCAGTCTCGCTTGCTGGTAATGGCTTTCACACTTCGTTTTAACCCTTCACGTGGTTCTGAAAAAAGGACCCTTCAAGCAAGTCGGTCAACTGGCATACGGGGCATGTGGCCAACTATGCAGTGTGGTCAGTTCATCTATTGTGGGTGTTATTTCTCCCCAATACCAATAGACCTATTTGAACACTGCTTGTCATGAATATTCTTTGTGCTCACATTATCGTTTTGTATTAACCATGCTTTCGCCTTCATTTTCAGTTTATGTACGTCTATTCTTAGACAAGTAAAGCGCTATTCATTCTTGTCCTCGCGCTCAATCAGAATAGATATTCTATTCGTGACAATTTACTTGTCTAAGAATACAATGGAACCGTTGCTGCGACCCAAGTGTTTCGACGCAGATCCTAATTCTCCAGACGCAACAACGCGTTGAAATCATTGGTTCCGAACCTTCCAAACGTTTCTGGGCACTGTCGAATCGCCCAATCCAAATAAACTCGAAACTCTGATATATTTTGTGGATGCATCTGTATACGTTTATATCGCTGACGAATCAGCTATCAGTACACTTGAAAAGTTGTACGTTCGTCCTAAGAGTATAATTTATGCTCGTCATCTTCTACGAAATTGCGAACAAGACACCAGTCAAGATGCTGATCTGTTTGTTCAGAGGCTAAAATTCTTGGCCGAAAATTGTGATTTCAAGGTGGCGTTCGCCGTTGGCCATCAAAACGAAAGTGTACGCGATGCTCTAATCAACGGACTTCAGTCTACTACCATCAGAGAAAGACTTCTGGCTCACCTCGATGAAGTACATCAATTGGTTAAGTTATTAGAATCGGCCCACAAACAAGCTCAGTTATACTCGCATAACCAGGCGATATCATTTTCTGCGGCTGCAGCACCTTTACAGACATCTACAGTTACCCCTTCACACAAAATCTCCCCTGATTCTACACCTTATCTCTCGTCAATCAATTCTCAGATATGTTACTTTTGCGGTCGTTCCAGACATCCACGGTCAAAATGCCCCACAAGAGAAGCAGTTTGTAAATCGTGTGGCAAAACAGGCCATTTTCAATGTTTGTCGATCCAAATCTGTAAAGAATCACTCAAATTGCACGATGGATTCTGCCTTATCTTCCCTGTTGACTGCCGCGGCCCCAAACTGCTTGTCTCGCACGGTGACCAGCATCAAGGTGAACGGGATATCGCTTCAGGCCCTCATAGACACAGGAAGTTCAAGCAGTTATATATCTCCTTTGGTGGTTGGTAAACATGGCTGGAAGATATATGCTAACGATTCTGTGATTACCATGGCATCTACCTCTCTGACGTGTTC